CAGCCAGATGCACCAGGCAGATGGCAGAAGCAATCTTTACAGACATATCTTTTTTTATAGTAGTTCGCCCAAGAATAATTAGTCTGTAAATTGAGTTGACAGTATTCTTGCTTGCAGTCATGTTAATTAAAAAAAGAAAAAATCCTAAGAGTTTGCTGATGGGGAGGACTGAGAGTTGATTGTAAGATTTAGTCTGCATTAATTTAGTCTTGCAGATCAAGGCTGTGTTTTCATATTTTTTTAATCTTAGTTTACATTAAGAATGAACAAATGATAACTGGAAAATGACTGAAAGGAACAAACATTCCACTTCTGCTTCTTTGTTTTCAGGTACAAAGCTTTGGTTCATGCTGTACTGTTTCTATTTTAATCAGTCACGAGGTTTTTTTTCCTCCCTATAGAGAAATCAGACTGCCAATTACCAGTAAAACAACCTGTCAAGCTACAGAGTGAGGCCTGAATAGTGAAGTCAGTAACCCTAGTGGCAGGTGCAGCAGTTCAGAGAACACTGTAATGTGACCAGCAGAACCGATTTGCACTGGATGCTGGCACCAGTATGCTCAACAAAGTTTCCTGAGATTTCCAACCCTAGAAAACAGCACTGTGGGGAGTTTCTGTCAAACTGGGTGACAAGGCTAGCCCGAGGATGAAGAACATGATTCACGAGTAGTCCATCTTGTGGACTCCACATTCTGCACTTAAAGGATTTGATGTTGAAACAGCAAAACCAGGTACAATAATTTCTGTGCACAACAGTCACAGTTTTCACAGCTTTTTTTAAAAATGTTTTTCTTAAGAGGATAGAAGACAGAAGCTTTCACTATAGTGTATATTGATTTCTTCAGGAAAAACTCTCTCCTGCTACACTCACAAAAAGCCCGCCGAAGTCAGTATGTAAGAATAGCCATGGTTTACTGTCATGCGATATTAGAGAGAAATCTTCTTTTTCTTAATTTGTATTTCCTCTGATGGCACTTTCATAATTCAAAACACACAGCAATGTATTTGAAAGGGAGCAAAATAGATCTAAAGGCCATTCTTTCAACTTTCAGGATGAGTTCTCATTTTCATTTCTGGGAGTAGACCATATTTGTGCCAGCTAGGGAACTGTTTCTTCTGTATTGAGTGACCAGTACAACTCTCTGTAGTATTATTTAAGTATTACTGTGTCCTTTATCAATATAAAAAATATTAGGCAGAAAAATACGGTTAAACATCTTAAAAACAACCTCCTCCCACCAAACACATGCTATATGCACACAATACAAGACCCACCCTCATACCATGTTTGCTCACAATAGTGACTGTGGAATCAAACTAACCAGGTTTGCAACGTAATTCAAAACTATTTGGTCAATCTTCTTTTTTCCTACATACTGGAGATGTCTCATAAGGTGATCCTTTAGCTGAGCAACCATCTAGAAAAAAGAAAGGCAATACTTCAGTGTCCTTATGGCTTCTTCAGAAAGGTGCAGAAGCTGCACCAGGTGCAGGGCCAGAGCAACACAACTTAGCACAACACGGAACCCCCACTACAAAACTCTAGTTCACAGTGAGACCCAGGCTACCATACAAATTTCATAGAATCATAGAATGGTTTGGGTTGGAAGGGACCTTAAAGATCATCTAGTTCCAACCCCCCTGCCATGGGCAGGGACACCTTCCACTAGACCAGGTTGCTCAAAGCCTCATCCAGCCTGGCCTTGAACACTTCCAGGGATGGGGCATCCACAGCTTCTCTGGGCAACCTGTTCCAGGTTGATGAATTCACTTGATGAATTCAGCAGCATATCAAAACATTCAAAATGGTTACTTGGTGCAAATTCAGCAAAATGAGTGCTACACAAAACTTTCAGTGACACTGAACAGAAAAAGCTTACAGTTCTTATATCCCTCTGGGTCCAGCCAAGTGAACAGGGCAAAAGAAGGATTTTAACATGAACACGGAATCCTGAGAGCGTGTTTATGACATACAAATAAACCCAAGGGATTTTACTACAGAGAAAACTAGCACCAGTACAGTTTGTGGTAGTAGCTGAGAACCTGAGTGATTCATGGCAAGTTCCAGTCAAACATTAAAGGTAAAGTCTTTAAAATCGGGGGTGGGGTGGGGTGTGGGGTGGTGGGGTAGGAGGTAGGGTTGGGTTCCACACAGTCCATGCCACTCCCTACCCTCTCCTTTCTGAAATCATAGAATCACAGAATGGTTTGGGTTGGAAGGGACCTTAAAGACCATCTAGTTCCAACCCCCCTGCCATGGGCAGGGACACCTTCCACTAGACCAGGTTGCTCAAAGCCTCATCCAGCCTCTGACTTCACGTATCTTCTGACTGCAACTCAAGTTCATGCTGGCTCTTTGCTGAGAATTACTATGAAGCTTTATTTGTTTCAAAGCTCAGATTAAACCTGAGGCAGATAACATCCGTCTCAAGCAGTTTACAAGTAGACGAATCTCAGTGTGTCCAGACAGCAATACAGGTATCAGGAAAGCACGGACAAAGGACAGCAGTGACCTGCTTTTTCGATCTGACTGAATGAACTGCAGGGAAGGAAGGTAGAGAAACTTCAGAGAAGGAGAGGCAGAATTTGGAAACAAGGGGACAAGACTGCAAAGAATGAAAATGTACCTTAGAGTAGGAGAGACAGGAGAGTGTTGATGCTCTTCGCAGATGCAGTGCTGAGACCTTCCAGTGCATGCTGAAGAGCTTTATTAGGCTTTAATAGTATGAGGGCAAGAGATAAGCAAAGATGTGTGTTTAGACAGAGGGAGGATGGGGAGGGATTTGAGATTTGACTTATTACACATAAGTATAAGGGTGGTAGATCCTTCGGGGAGATTATCAGCGAAAACAGCGCAAAAGAGGAGGGGACCTCAGCGTTAGCCATAGCAGTCCCAGAAGTGAGGTAGAAGGAAAAGGAGGCAGTAAAAAAGGTGTTAAATTGAGAAGCAGGAAGATCTTTGATCTTCTCTTTGAGGGAAGCAGTGGATGGGGAATTCACCTATACATGTCTGAAGTATGTAAAGTAGTCCAGAAATAACTGACAGATTAAGATTAACTCCAGGATGATGGAATAACTGTTTCTAGGCAAAGAAAAGTCAGATGCAAAAAGCTTGCAAAAAGCACAAACTTGTATACAGAAAGCATTTTGACAAAACAACTTTTCATTGCGTTTTTTCCTTGATGCCTCACGATATCATGACTTGTTAAGATAATATCATGATATCATGACTATGAACTCTAAAAATTAAGAAGTACCGTGTTTGTCCCACAATTACTTTGAGTAACTGCCTACTCAGCACTGGAATGTCTAAGCTTACTCTTCACGTTTGTTGAGGTTGTTCGCCCTCTAGTGCACACTGATAAAAGCACATACCAGTCCCATTAGTAATTGCTGCTGATAATCCTCCTCTTGAAAGAGAGGTACTAGCCTTTCCTCTGAAACAGACAGAGCAAGAATCATTCAAGGACATGACGCTACAGAAACACCACAAGACTGCCACCAGGTTCAAAAGTACTTAGAAACATACACAAACAAAGAGAAGTTGTGGTTTGATCTACTCACCTACAGAACTAGGACAGTGAAGAGTCAAGGACTGCGTAAGAGAGAACTGAGGGATGGAAAACAACCTGTATCTGCCATCGTCTCCTTCGAGTGCTTAACTCTGAGCTCAGAGGAACACAAGTCTGTTGCACCATGTCCCACTTCACTTATGTTACTCTCTAATATTTAAGGGAGAGTTATCACAGTGTGGTGATTCAGTAGAGCAAAGAGCCTCGGGAAACCTTCTATCAGCACCAGTGCAAATGCAGATGCTATTTAGAACTTGCCATTTACAAACAAACAAGCCGAAACAGCTACATGGGTTTTCCAAGGAAATGGCTAGACATAAAGTAAATACTCCACAGAAACATCTCTCACTTTCCTGGTTCTCTCCCATGGTCTGGCTGCTTCTGTTACTCAGATTTGCAGACTGCTATACACAACTTTTTTAACTTAATGGAAGGAGGTTATAGATTCTTCTGAAATGTATTGCCCTGTATTTCCTAATCAGTGCTTCCTGTCTACTAAGGAAGAAAAACAATCTCCTATTTCATCACGTAGCATAAAATCAAGTCAACATTTTACAGACTCAAGTGCTAAATTTTTTACGAAGTTCTTTGCTCACCTTGCAATGTATTTACTCCACCACTCAGCAGCACAAAAACCTGCACTGCTTCATTTTAAAGGACCTGAAGAAAAATCTACGGGGAAGATACACTGCATGGATGCTTGTTACCAGCTGACAGCTATCTAGAAATTCTCTAGTAGAAGTTATACATCTGACTTCTTTATCCATAAACACCTTCCGAAAAGATGAACCTGAGGCTAGCAAAGTTGAGATGAGGTTCCCCAAAGTCAGAGCCCACAGCAATAGGCAGCAGTGGTGCACATGACCTGTGTTAGGGGATGGAAATGAATGCACTGAGAATTCTTCGTAATAAAAGGGGTGAGCAGCACTTAAATCAGCATCGTTTCACAGCACCATGGCAGGGCACACAGAAGGCACTGATGTGCAAGCAGTGGGAACATAATTTACTACTAAATTCAGCCTTATTTGTGACAGAGAAACTGAGCATCACAAAATCTCAAGTGTCCCTGGCCCAGGGAAATTCATTACGTCTGCTTTCTCTACCTCGTGATTTTTCACCAGCCATAACCTCTTACTGTACACAGGTTGTAGAGCTGCAAAGTGGTCAAGACCCAACAGTAACATGGCATCACTGATACTCGGCTCCAGGAGAAAAATCCTGAAGAAGTCGTCCTGAGGCAGACAAAGGTTTACTGCTGATGATGTTAGATACAATCTGAACTTAATTTTCAAGGGTTTTCTAGTCAGTATATGACCCTACCCGACTGCCAGAGAGAAAGTTTTCTTCTAATTTAATAACCCCACATCTTAATGCCTCACACTCTTCAGTGCTGGAAATACAGAGAGCAATTTACTTTCAGCCAACAACAGCTAGATGGAAACACTCTAACGAACCTTACAGCTAAGGCCTACACCAAGGCAGGTTTTACTTACCGGAGTCCCACGTGTCCAGATGAGAAAGCACCCTGGGGTTTGAAACATAAATCAACTTGTTTCATATGCATTACTCTAACAGATTTTGCAAGGACATTAAAAAGCTTAAATGACCCTTTGACCTTTCAAAGACAGATAAAGAAATCCCAAAACTACGTATGACTACATTTGGTAAAGATATTAAATAGCATTTAAAAAACCCTATCTGTCTGGGTTGCATAAGTATAACTCTTCACATGTACCATAAATTCCTTAGCTTGAGAGGCCTGGATATTCCAGATCATGCTGTAGTGATTACAAGGATTACAAGAACTGATTTTTAGCTGGATAATCTTCTTTAAAGCAAGATACCTAATCAGATATCTATTTAAATGACACATTAAATACTTTAACATACTTCAACAAAGTAAGAAAGGGTAAACATAATAGAAAACTACCTACTTTTTGGCATTTTCAAAAATATTCCTCAAATACGCTGTGGTTCCTCTGTCCTCTCTCTGGTTTGTAAACAAACAAAAATCCCCAGGTGAACAAAGTGGAAGGCCAATGAACATACTCCCTGATACAACGCGGATAGGAAACGAAGCCGATCTTCTCTCTGAATGGAAGTACGGCACAGTGGGGCTTCAACCCACCTACCAACCACCCACGCTCACAGACACTCACACATCTAACCTACATCACACCACAGCTACATGCAAGCTCTGCTTTTGTTTAGTTCCTTGCGTTATTTTAGTGCAGTACGATTCACAGGCAATCGCCATACAGGTAAAACAACTGCAAGTCTTGGCACTTCTCATTATCAGATTCCCATTTCTATATCCCCAAAATAAAAAAGGTAACTCTTGTGTGTTTGGCTCCAGAGGCAGCTCTGGAGCCTGTTTCAGCGCATGCGTATTTACCTGTTCTGAAAGGTTATGCCACTCCCTCCGGAGCACATTGTTCTGGTAGTGCAAGTGGGGCTCTGCATACTTCACACTCTCCAAGTTTGAGTTGAGTTTCTCCCAGAAGCCTTTGGAGTTTTGGGACTGCAAAGTATTGCAGTGAAAGCATGAATACAGGCTGCACTCTTAAAGAAACGCCCTCCCACTAAGTGACTGGAAAGACCTGTGATTAACGTAGCTTCAAAACAACCTAAGTGAGAAAAGTTAAACAACAGCAGTTACACTATTTTTGCCAGTACCTTTATTTCCTTGATTTGATGGCAGGGGTAGCACTTCCTTAAATGCGAGGTCAGGATTTGGTGCCTGTAATGCAGATACTTTGCCACCTTAGGATCCTTTTAAGTCACTGAGAAGAAATGAGTACTTCTAGGTCATACCTCATCTGACCTAGTTTGCATGTTTGGGATGGGGAGAGCTGCACCACAGACTACACTGGCCATATTCTAGACTTCTGCTGACTGTAAGAGGAGCCTTAGACAATGGACATAGATGTGAATGTTTACATTTGGTCAAATAAATCCCATTCCGGATTTCTAGTAGTTCCAAACAGAGGAACACCACCATGACCCCGGCAGCTGCAGACTGCCATCATTTTCAAGCTCTATCAATACTTAAATTGCAAACATCCATGTGCCAACCTCAAGTAACAGTACCTCATCCCAGAAAAGAAACAAAATCCAAACATTTCCATAGCAATTCTAAAGCCTTTGACTCTAATGCTGAAACTGATTTAAACTCAGCTGTGAACAGACAGGAGGAAAAAAACTTCAAACAAACACGCACTGGTTTCCTGACAAAGTTTTTGGACTGGGTATAAAGGTTTGAAGCCACTGTTTATAAAGGGGGAGTGATGTGATCATTGCTGAGGAAGAGATGAGATTAAGGCAATTCTTTTTGGCAGTTTTAAAAAAACAAAAGATGGTACTAGCTGTTCTTGCCCCCCTTTATATACATTTACCTTCCCATACAGACACTACAGCAGTGACTTCTGAAGGAAGAGAAGTTTGAGTTCACAGTATTCCTCCATCTTGCATTAACATGTTGGATTTTGCTCTCTCTTCTACTTTTCTACAATGACAATAACTTTAGAAGACAACGTCAGAAGCCTTTAAAAACCACTTCCTACTATAAACTACAATTTGCCAAGGAAAACAAACTGCAGAGACTCAATCCTGCCAGTCACTTCCCTCTTGCTGCCAGTGCTGATTGTTGCTTTAATGTTGTAGCTGCAGCAGAGAAAAATAAATCTCCTTTTTGCTTCATGCTAGTTATATTTAGCAGCTGGAAATGGGGAGCGCATATTGCACCATATGTTCACCCTGCTGGAGATAGAACTAACAAGATCGACAACCTACTGCTGCAGTAGTTAGCAATGTGAAATCGGAGAAATACCAAGAAAATAGCGTAAGGGTATCATCTAGTGACCAATTCATGCAACTGCAACAGCACCACCGCTGCAAAATTGCAGTCAGGCCACGCTGGATTTTGTTTGATGTGTGGCAGGGAGGGAAGCAAGACAGCAAGTTTCTTTCATATATTGAGTCTGTCACAGGAAGTGGTAGGCTTCAGAATTAAAAGCAGACGCCACTGAAAACCTGCACTGTATTAACTGTCTTTAAGAAAGCCAAAAGTTTAAAATAAAGATTATTTCTTGAAGATCATCAGGGCAAGGACTGGAAAAAGAAGGCTGCTTCATCTTAGGTGGTGTTTATTTTGCAGACATTTCTGGAGAGTCAGGAATCATGAACATGTATAAGACATTGTATTACCAGAAGTCAAAGCAAGGCCTTACCAGTTTGCAATCCATGAAAAGCTCCCATGAAGCCTTTTGTAAGTAGTGGGTTTTTTAACTGAAGACAAGCGAGGTCTCTGCTCTACCCCTCTGAAAGGATGACAATGAACCTTGGGAGGCGCATGTCCTCTCCAGAGGACCGGCAGTGCTATGTCTCCCCAGCAGTGAAGGCATTCAGAGCCATGTAACTGACTACAGCTACCCCTTAGAACATCACTCTTCACTCCGTGGCTCAGCACAGCATGATGGAGAGGCTGCCTTTTCCTGGGCTCATCTCTGACAGCTCCTTGCACTACACATCTTCACTGATTTCCTGGACCTCCTCCTATTTTCTTCCCTTATTCCTCCTGCTCCTTCCTTCTCCCCTTCTAATCAAGCCTATTTGCACCCCTTCAAGTTTGGTTTTCGTGTTTAAAAAGGGAAAAAAAAACTAAAACAAAACACCAAAACCCAGACTTTTAACTGCAATCCTTATATAAAGCTTTTTGACAAATCAGACTCTGACCATTCCCCTTTTCTCACAGAATCCTGC